TCCTCTGTCCTCACTCTGTCCTCTGCATCCTCTGTCCTCACTCTTTTTTCTGCTTTCTCTGTCCTCACTCTGTCCTCTGCATCGTTTTGTCCTCACTCTGTCCACTACATCCTCTGTCCTCACTGTCCTCTGCATCCTCTGTCCTCATTCTGTCCTCTGCATTCTCTGTCCTCACTCTGTCCTCTGCATTCTCTGTCCTCGCTCTGTCCTCTGCATCCTCTGTCCTCACTCTTTCCTCTGTCGTCATTCTGTCCTCACTCCAACTACCTCGATGTCCTCTCTAACTTCATCCATATATCTCCTCTTTGTCTTTTTCCTGGCAGCTGCATTTCTAACATCCCAGTGTTTCCCGTTAGACAAGTGGGGTACCCCGCCCCGTCAATGGAACAGTGCACCCCGTCTACCGACACCCCGTCTACCGACACCCCCGGTCAGCAACTGATAAAAACCGGCTACAAAATACAGATAAACTAACAGGCGGGACAACAAAGACGTGACTCCACCTCTGTCGACAAAAAATAAATAAATACCACAAGCACTCCGCCAATGGAGCTGATCTAGGGGAAACACTGCACTGCATCCTTCTACCAATATAGCCACTGTCCCTCCTCTGGACATGTCCACACCACTGTCCCCCCTCTGGACATGTCCAAACCATCTCATTCTGGCCTCTATAACTTTATCTCCCAGTTGTTTTACCTGCTGGACCCCTGACGATTGTTTTATACCAGCTGTTCCTCCTGACACAACTCTCACCAGTTACCCAGGCTTGAGATTGGCATGAGAGATGCACTGGCTTGAGCTCCCGAGTGGCTGGTTAAAAAATAAACAAATAATGAACAATAAAATTGTTCTTAAAAATTCTGTAAACAAATGTTATTTTTATTTATTTATTTAACCAGGAAAATCCCATTAAATTAAAAACCTCTTTCAAGGGAGACCTGGCCAAGGTAGGCAGCAGCAAATGTAAAACATACTGTAGTTACCACATCACTGTCCAGACAACAAATTTAAATTTGGAAACAAATTAAGAAACATTTAAAACAACAATAAATAAAAATTCTGAACATATTTGGTCTCAATTTACAAAAACCTTTTAACCCAATTCAGTTCAGGCAAACGGATTAACAGGCATCAAATAGTCCTGTGAATGGATGGAGTATGAGCCAGCACCACGCTGTACAATCAGAGTACAAATATAAGAGGGAAGAAGTCCGTACATTACTTTTTATATGAATATACCAATGGCTGATTCTTCTGGTGTCCAGAGGAGGCCATTCTACCCTGGAGTATAACAGTGATGTGCCAGTGCCTTACATGTTGTCAAATAACTAGCAGTGCTACTGATATTCTGCTTGTGGGTTATGTCTAAATTGTTAGTTTTTAAACAGCTTGACATAACTTAAAAATCACTTTCATATTACAGAAAATATAGCGTAAAACTTTTGTTATAAAAGTAATGATCTACTGATGAGGAAGATGCTGTTTCATTGACAGTCATGAATTTAATGCTTCACCAGACAGCTTTCATCTGGACTGATATTTTTCTGGCCAAGCCAAGAAGAACAGGGTAGTCTTAGCAAAATGTTTTATAGTGGGGAAATAATACTCCACACATACAGCGCGACTCATTTCTGCTCGTTGGTTTTCATGGATGAGTTAGTTGAAGTGCTAACCTTGTGTTGGCTCCCTCTTCTCTGTCTTTACTGACCGTTCAGTCATCACACTGTTTGTTTCTGTTGCAATGATTAATGTGTCAACAAAACCTGGTTAGAAATCGTTTAAGAAAAAGCCGCATTTGTGAGATTCTACATTTTCCAATAAATTCAGGCATTATTGTCATTCTACGATTTGTCTGCAAAAAGTAGGACAAATAATGGTGCAGGAACTTTTCTCACCCATAATTTCTTGTAATTGTCCAGGGATTCAAACCAGTGACCTCTCGATCATAGGCTCACCTTCTTATACCTCTGAGCTACCACTCCCCCCAAAATATGAGAAATAACACACAAACAGGAGAAAAAAAAAATCTTATCAGCCTATAGTTTTATTTTGAAATTTAAAAAATGAACTTTGTGCAATATATATATTTCTAGAATTGCGCCGCTCAAGGTGGATGCATGTTGGAGTAGCTCTGTTACTTTCATTCTGAGATTATTTTTGAAAACTTTAATTCCTCTTTTTTTCTGGATATAAATCGCTTTTTTGGATGATTATTTCCTCTGGTGTCTGATGCTGTGCAGCTGGAAGAATTTTAACAAAAATATCTTTGCTTTTGGACATTTGTTATGATGCGTAACCATAACAACAAGGATGTTTTTTACAACCAGGAGCAGCTGATTAACATCTCCAAAGCTCAAATAATATCTCAACTACAGCCCCAAATCCCAAATGAGTTGAAAAGGAGGCGTCGTGGATGCAGAGCAGGAGCAAAGAAGAGGGAGAAAGAGAGAAGAATGAAGTTTAAACCATCTCTTCCATCAATCATGATGGGCAATGTGAGATCGCTGTGAAACCAGTTGGATGAACTTCAAGCCTTAACAAGGACTCATCCAGAGTATCGGGAATGCAGTGTTATGTGTTTCACTGAGACATGGCTGCAGGATTAACATCTCAAAAGCTCAAATATCTCAACTACAGCCCCAAATCTCAAATGAGTTGAAAAGGAAGTTCTGTGGACGTATTCTCATCTACCTGCCAGCTGTGCTCGAGTGCCTGATCACTGAGATCCTGGAACTAGCAGGAAATACGGCTCATGACAGTGGAAGGACAGGATCGTCCCTCGGCACCTACAGTTGGCTGTCTGCAGCGACGAGGAGCTCGGCAGACTGCTGGGAGGAGTAGCCATCGCTGTTGGAGGAGTTCTGCCCAGAATTCGGGCGGTCCTACAGCCCGGGGGAACCGAGAGGACAGCCAAGTCTGGGTGGACGGATCAGACGGCATCTGCAGCCAGTTTCTTAGGATCCACTGTGGAACGGACCTTTACAAGAGATCCTTCCTGCCTACAGCCATCAGATCTACAGGTCCTTCTCAAAAAATTAGCATATTGCGATAAAGGTCATTATTTTCCATAATGTAATGATAAAAACGAAACTTTCATATATTTCAGATTCATTGCACACCAACTGAAATATTTCAGGTCTTTAATTGTTTTAATACTGATGATTATGGCATACAGCTCATGAAAACCCAAAATGCCTGTCCCAAAAAAATAGCATATTTCATCCCACTGTAGTGAACTAAGCCTCAGGTCAAGTCCTGACCCTGAGGGCCTTCCTGGAAAAGGAACTGTTATTTCATTGATTTGAATCCAGAAACACAAATTAAGCTCATCCAGAGACTTTCTAAGTGTCCTGCACTGATCAATTGAAAGAACACTCTCTTTTATATTATCATTACTATTTTACAAATGTCTTGATAATCAAAAGTGTGTTTAGTTCAAACCATTTTAAATGTTGAAGTGAACTACTCATTTTAAATCAACTGTGAAACAGTATAAATGATTTTTAATCCTCATTCAAAGTAGAAATCAAGTTAAAATGCCTGTTACAAAGTAATTATGCATTTTGATCTTCTGTCTGAAATGAG